CCCTAATTTATTTACTTTCGTTATCAAAGTGCATCGATTATGAAATGGAAATACATAATTTCGAATATAACTTGGCCTTTAATACTACTTTTTTTTATGATGATTTGTAGACGAGAAAACCCAGTTAAAAAAAAATTGTGATTCTTTGAGATTTAATTGAAAAAAAAAAAGATTTGCGATCCGATCCAAAATTGGTTGACGAGTTGGGGACACATTCGAAGCTATCCCAATTTTATAGTTTATACCGCGAGGATGTGAACTTTCTTTCGCATGAGAATCACTTTAAATAATTGTTCACATATTTCTTATAAACGTTAAAGAAAAATATGTCTACATTTATGAAGTATTGAATAAACAATATAGGGTTTCTCAAGAAAAATACAATGACCAGCCTTAACATACATGCACATCTGTTTTTATGTATGTTAATTATCATAACATGAATGATAAATGCAATAATGCAGGGATTATCTCTCTGTGGTATTGAGCGGGGATAAATCAGGAAGACTGATGAAATATGATACAGCAAGCAAACAAGTGACAGTACTTCTCAAGAACCTCACGTTTCCAAACGGAGTAGCATTAAGCAAGGATGGCAGTTTCGTTTTATTAGCAGAGACCACCAGCTGTAGGATCTTAAGGTATTGGATAAAAACATCAAAAGCTGGGGCTCTTGAAGTCTTTGCTCAGCTACAAGGTTTCCCAGATAACATAAAAAGGAGCCCTAGAGGAGGATACTGGGTTGGTATAAATTCGAAAAGAGAGAAGCTTTCTGAGTTGCTATTTTCATATCCATGGATCGGGAAAGTTTTGCTTAAACTTCCATTGGACATAACGAAATTTCAAGCAGCTTTGGCCGAGTACAGGGGCGGCGGCTTGGCAGTGAGGTTGAGTGAGAATGGTGAAATAGTGGAAGTGTTTGAAGACAGAGATGGAAATAGATTGAAATCAATAAGTGAAGTGATGGAGAAAGATGGGAAATTATGGATAGGGTCGATAGATTTACCCTTTGCTGGCAGGTATAAGACATGAACTTGCAATTATATAGTGGTGTGAATATTTTTTGAGAAAAATTAAGAATTGCATGCAAACGAATAATTTTTCATCATATATAGATATGGGAGCCCGAGCTTCCATAAACACGTTTGAAAGGATTTGCAATTCCTTTCGTGTAACTTTTTCGCACAATAGGGGGCCTTTTTCTCTCCTTGCAAATTATAATTTTATCAACCTTTGCTCTGTACATGTGATAATAGCTTATCAAAGTGCAAGAATATATTTTGCCAAAAAAATTGCACGAATGGATTGCATATGTCATTGAAACTCCAAGAAAATCTTGCGGATCATGATATGTGTGGTGTCAAATAACTCATATATGAGGATTATAGGGAGATTGGATAAGATAAAAGGAATGCTTAAGTTATTATCGCTATTTTATAAAAAATCTCATAAGATAAATTTAATGATAATAAAAAATAATTATCAATAGTAAATAAAATAGGTTATATTTATTGTTAAAATTAAGTGAGTTGCTGCTTTTGAATGACAAATCTGGCACTATCAGATCTGTTGATAATTTTTTTAGCATTACTAAATTGAACTTGTCAAGATATTTTTATAATATTAATAGTGTTATAACCATATCTTTAATGTGTTTTTTTTTTGTAATTTGAATTGATCTATTTAAAATTCTTTTGATATAATATGTTTCTGAATAATAACAATCTTAAATTTTGTATTTCCTAATCATAACATTAATAAATTGTACTATTTTATTAATTTTTTTAATTAAAAAAATGTGCTAATTTAAAAAAAATTGAAAGGAAACATGCTTTGTAACTGATAAAACTAATGTTCATCGTACAATGACATATAGTTTTCAAACCTTATCTAGAAATTAATAAAAAAAAAGAAGGTAAATCACTAGATCAACCGTAAACATTTAACTTTTTTTTAAAAAAATAGTATTAATTTGATTAATTTTATACCGTGTCAATTAAATTATTAAAAACATGATTGATGAAGTAAGATTTAATATTTGAATCTTAATTTCTTAGATCTAACTCGTTAGCAAGATTATGTTGGATTTAATAAGTTTAATGAGATAACTTGTTATAAAACAAAATATAATTATTTTTATGTATGATTTTCTTGTTAGGACATTTAAGCATTCAAACACACATCAATTTACGTGGTTCGGTAACTTGCCTATTCCACGAAACTACTGGTTTGTATTAATCAAGTTTAGAAACAATACAAACAACAAAACAAAGAGGAAGAGAAAAACTTCTCTACTCAACTCAACTCTCACTCTAGCTTTCTCTGTGTTCCTCTCTATTTTGTGTGATCCTCAACTATTAATGGCACGCTCTATTTATAGCTGATATGAGAAACAATCTTCTTCCTTTGGTCAATTATGGTGGCCCCCGTTTTTTTTGTTTAGGCACCTACCATTGATTTTTGCATTGCAACCACATGGCTGCTAATAACTATTTGTGTCCATACATAGCAATCTCCTACTTTGACACAAATGGCGCTAGATTTGTCTTTTAATCTTGAAGACCAACTGAAACTTTACACAGTTTCAGTTTATCAAAAATAACTCTTTTGGTTAACATGTCACCTGGATTTTTGCTTTCATAGATCTTTTCTAACAATAATTACTTATCGTCTAATAATCGTCGGATAAAGTAATATTTATTTTTTTGCACAAACAGAAAGTACAATTTGGTTTTTTTATTTTTTTACAGAAAAAAATGAAATTCATGATTAATCATTAATTTACTTCATGCGAGCCAAGAAAGGGCTATATGTCATGATGTTGTGCTAGTTTACAAAACCTCATAGATAAATAGATAACGCGGCACGCGGCACGAATGGACTTGCAGGACTTCCATTTGGAAATACACCTTTTTTCTTTTACACAATTGTTTTATATCGCAAGTTAAAAAATTTCTTAGGACTAATCTTAATATGAATAATTTATTTAAGTCTCGATAGAAAAGATATTTTATCTCAAGTTCAAAATATATTTCTTCTAGAAAGAAAAATAACTCCATGAAAAAACTGAATTATAATAATTTAAAGCCCAATTCTTCTAGACTATACAATACAAGATTGTAAGATAGAAAAGTAAATTATAATATTGAAGGATATAATTTAATTGGTCAAATTCTATATTTATTTTTAAAAAATTATCAATTTAAATTTTATAAATTTTAGAATTATTAAAGACTTATACAATCATTAACTTTAAAAATTATAAAATTAATTAAATTGCAAGCAAGTTGATATAAATACTTATATTAATAAAAAAATATAACAGAATAAACAAACAAGAATGGGTAATCAATGCATAAATTTTATAATATTCAGATTATAACTACTTAATATTTAAGGTTTATTTATTAATCTGTATGGTATGATTGATTGTGTTAATCAACAAATTTTTATTATAAAAAAATAAATATAAAAAGATAATTTTTTTAATAAAAAGTAATTCTAACCATTATTTTACATTATATTATTTCTCCTTTTCTTTTTATGTTTATCTATTTTCCGTCCGTGAGTAATATAATTTTTTTTTTGGCTTGATGCTGCCATCACCCTTATTCACCCTATCAAATTTTGAGTACTAATCCTTTTTTTAAAAAAAAATAATCAAGTTACACAGAGATTTAGCACATTTTGATCC